TATATATATATATATATATATACATCTGCGAAATTAATTTGAATTGAAATATAATTTTCTCAGTTTTCAGTGTATTTTCAAAAATTCTAAAAGTTCAATTATAAAAAAGTTCAGTATAGTGTCATTTAATTGTAGTATGCTTTTTAACAAAGCATACAATATTATTACATACATTTAAATAAACGATAAAAATATTATTACTTCAATAGAGTTTCCCCAACACTTATGAAAATTAAATAAATGTAAAATTCCTGAGTCATGGTTATATATAGTACCTAAAATATCCAACGATTACCATTTTATATATATTGCATTTTTATTAGAAATAATCGTTGTGCCAATGAAGCATTGCCAATATCGAGAATTTTTTTGCATATGTATCATCCAAGCTACAACGTAAAAACAGAACAAATTAAACAATATCTTAAAGTTGACATGTCTAAAATAGAACTCAATTTATAATAAATTATAATACTATTAACCAAATAATAATATTATTAAAACTTTATTATAGGTATATTATAATTATTTAAATAGCCAATTATTATAATGAACAGACTTTTATTATCTTATTATTATCTGTTATCTTTATATATATAAATTTTATTCTTTTCATCTTTAGTTATTAAATATGAAAGTAACAAAAACGTTACCACTGATCGACATATTCCATGTTTATCCAATCGTTGATTTTCCGGACATTGCGGTCTATTCGGTATCCGTATGAAATGAGTAAGACTAAAACTGTTGTTCTCTTGGGTCTGTTGCTGTTGATATCCGGTTTGTAGCGGACGATTCTTATTGTTCTGACAAGTCATTAGTGATAAATTTATCACTATCAATACAATTACAGACATCACAAACATTTTCGCCATTTTTAATATTTAAATTCTAATAAATATTTGTCACGCACACACGTATATGAGACCAGCAACAAATTTGAACGTTATCCTAGTAGTTAAAAATCCGAGACACTACTGGCATTGAAATCTTAACAATTCTGATTCTTGTTGTATTCTGAGAGGTTCGTTCGAATATTTCTGCTATTTATATATCCACTATCATCTTTAGATGTATATGATTATGTAAACTACGTTTTTACTACTACTTCAAACTCGCTACCGTATTTAAAATTTTGAAGTGTAGAAGAAGTGATGAAGTATAAAGAAGTAATAAGAGAACGTCGTCCTTGAAGACTAAATCATAAATATTTATTGCGAATATTATCATGCTTCCTAAAAATAAAATTTAATTGCAATTAAGATTAAGGAATTAAATAACGATCCCATTTTTACAATATAAAAATCTATTTTGACAATATACAATATATTGTTACAATTCGAAGTTTAATGGAAATAAAATTTCTATTTCTTTATTGTATGTTTATTTTTTAAATATAAGACATTATATTTAAGTCTCAAGTCTAATTATCTTCCTCAATTTTTAACAGAATAATTAATTATTCTTATTATGTTTTTCTAATTATTTGTAATATCCGTATAATCTTTTATATATTTCTATTAATATAATGAAATAAAATTATCTGAATCATATTATTGATAAGCTATTTTATTTTTCCTAAAAAAAATTATTTTAAGAAAAAAGTAATTAAAAATTAATTTTAACGTATATACGTTTTTATTCTTACTTGTAATTATTTATCAACTGGAATTATCTATCTTTATTTCGCGTACCCATTCAAATAATCTTTTCAATAGACATTAAATTTTTTGTATTCCCTGACAAATTATTAGCGACAATGCAATGACAATAACAAAGTCATAAATATCATAAGATTTCTCATTTTTAGAACGTGTAAACTTTATGCAAAGTTCAGGGATAAAACAACTTCGTTGCCTTTGAATATAAATCCTTAATTAAACGTTCAACAATTTCCTGAAGATTAGTACACATTCTATTAGGTATTCCATGAAGATTAATACACACATTCTACTAGGTATTCCTTGTATTAACTCTTTATAATCATGTCTAGACGATTCCATAAACGGCTTAACATAATTCATCAATATTTTTATTACCAATCGTGCTCAAGGCCCCTGTTATAAAAATAATATATAATTAATCAATTTCTTTGCGACTATAAAAAGTTATAGACTTTAATTTAAGAATATTATACCAATATTTTGCGTAATAATGAAACTGTGGATATTAAGATAAATATTTTATTGTCCCCCGTTTTATATTTCTAATTAAAATTTATTGAATTTAAACTTAGATTAAATCTAATAATAAAAGATATCTCGTACGCGAACGTTATGTACAGTACAATAAAAGATATTTCATTATAAATATAATATCTTAATTAAATTTTAACTAAATATTTGAATGTTTTAAATATGAAAAATATAAAAAACTTTAAACAAAGAAAAAATATTTAATAAAAGAAACTATTAATAATTTACAAAAAAAAATTATTTTTTTAAATATATTAACTGTCACATTATTCATTCTGTGTTGTTTCTAACAGCTCTCCGTTATTTAAATATGATTACGTGAAATTTTCTTCAGATAAAAATCTCGTCGTTTAGTGATATGTTACAAAAAAAAGTTATAAATGTGTTTGGGTTTTGCTAAAACTTTTTCATTGATAGACTCTTTTTAAAATTGAGCGTTATTCATATAAATGACACAACAGTTCATTAAATAAGTTTTTGGATCATATGATTTAATATAAAGATGTAAAAATAAGATATCGACAACAAATACAAGAAAAAACGTAAATAATGATTCTCAGCAGAAACGCGACTACAAATACGGACCTAGATCTTGTGTATATTGAGAACACTTTATTATTGATATGCGAGCAGTAATAACACTGGATAGTAAACGAATGTCTTAACTAATGTAAAGGATGGCAGAGATAAAAAGCGTGATATCAGTATACGTGAATTTTGTAACAAATTAGTCGGTATCGTTGACCACTAGAGCCGCGCGAAACCGCCTCTCTTTATATTTATAATAGCAATCATTTTATCATCTCGATCGCCTTTAGCGGGGCGGTTAACTGCTCCATACACGGAGCAATTAATTATGCGTAGTCTGCATTAATCTTTGCAAATTGGGACCGAAATCCTCGGAGTACGCCCTACAATTTATAGTACTCCTATGGTCATTTGATTACGCCAATATAAAACCAATCGTCCTAAAACAAACGCAGATTTCTTTTTTCAACTCTCTGACTTGGTTGGATTGTAAACGAATGATGAAAGATAAGGTCCTTTGTCAAGAAATCATTATGTATACATAGTGTTCCAATATAATTCTTTAATTGATTAAAGTAAATCATTATGATTTGTAATAAAAATCTCGCAATTCCTTTTTATTTACAATGCATGATTAATAAAAAAAAATATATATATATATATATAAATTTTTATTTCTCTGTCAAACATGGAACTACAATATAATTTACTCACATTAATTGTTGACAGTATTTAATACTTTAGGTTACAAATAACGTTAATTATAAAATTGTACAACAAATACTTCGTTAATTCCATTTCTTATTTATTCAATCTTGTCGAGGATCAATCTTTGCGCTTCATAAATTCTTCGGAAAGATATCGTCATCAATTCTTGCTCTTTAGATGTATATAACAAACGAATAAAGGATTGTACGCCATTTCTTCCTACTACACAAGGTAATGACGTAAAGATATCCTTTTCCAATCCGTGTTGGCAGCCCTAAAATATATTTGACAATTTTGACTAAGGGAAAGAAGAATTATTGTTCACAGAAATATA